AATTTTGAAGCAGGCAACGTTAGTTGGTTAATAATTAATTGAAAGGATAATCTTAAGAGGATAATCTAAATAGCATTGCGATTGTAAGCACTCAAAAAGTCAATGACAATAATATTTTAGCAGTAATAATAATAATAAATAGTAATCTTAATTGTAATGCGTTAATCCACGCGATATATGCTCTTGTGAGTATGTACTTAAGAGGATTATCTCAAAATTGATTATATAACTTAGTAGTTATGATTATAAATACGTTGATATTATAGTAAAGCATATTCTACAATTTATATTACGTATGGTTTTGTATTTGAGCAACATTAATTATAATAATAATAAATAATAATAATAAATAATAATAGCAGGTGTCTGTGCTCGTAATAACCTTTTAACCTTTACCCTCTTATCTCATAAAAACGTTACATAACATTTAATTGTTCGTTTCAAGAGATCTCTCTGATCAGACAGATCCGATAAAGAAATAATAAACAAATCAAGTATGTCTGAAACAACCGTGAAATTACTTGCGAGTTGTTGATAACAGTATGATAATAATGATAGTAATAATAATAATAATAATAACAATAATATAAATAATAATAACAAATACCATCGAATATGTAATTCAGGCTGTCGAGATACGAGCCTATCTCCTACCGTACCCTCCGGTTCAAACCTGCCCGAGCAATCCAGGCCATATGACCACAGTTCAGCAGCGATCAAGAATCCTGCAAATGAAAACAAAAGCGACAATAATAATAATAATAATAACATAAATAATAAAATAACGAAAGACGATAAAGCAGAGTGTTCACGAGATTCAGTGCATACGAATAATGTGCAATCCGAAGGAACAAGCCCGAGCCCTGTGAGCAGCGTCGGAAAGGTTTATTTATTGTTTGTTATTGCTATTTTGATTTATTTGTTATCATTCAATATTTTTAGTTATTATTTGTATAAATTACTCATTATTATTGTTACCTGTTATGCATTATAGATATTATTATTCATGGTGTTCATTAACCTTTAAAAAAGTCGGCAATTTCAGGCGTCATGCTCAGTTCTATCCACTTCTCCCAATCCACTACATATGCCCTCAACAATTTCTTCGGCATTCTTTGGTCCTGTGCAAAATCCCTTGATTTCCAATAGTAATAGTATGAATTATAGGAATCCGTCACCTTTTTCTCAAGGTAATAATACTAATAATAATGATAATAATTTTTTTATTATTAAAAAA